TAGTAAATGCCCTGACTCTCCCAAACTGCCTCTATGTGCAGCCTCACACTGCATGGACAAATCTTAATCTGTCATTATAAAATAAAAAACCCACAAAAACCCAAAAAACAACATCAGCAAAGCAAAAAGGTGCCTGCCTCACTTGTAGGTGGGAATCTTAGTTTAAAATTCAATCAACTTAATACAAAGGCAATAAAAAGTACATTTTTAACATTTTTTTTCCCCCCCAAGGACTACCTTGTTTGCATCCACAAGAACTGTACCTCATCCCCCTCCAATTATTCCGCTGCACACTCCCACATCACCCGCGTTTCCTTTGCTCCACACAGATACTTAGCTCTCAAGACACCACCCCTACAAAGTTAAACCCTTTCTAAACCAAGAATCTTCTGTTTTCAAAGCCTTTTTATTTTTTATTTTTTTCCAAAGAGCTACCAGGCTTCATTTTCCAAGTTCTTTCCGCAGGTTTCATAAAATAACTGATGATGTCAATTCCAGTTATCATATTCCGTAAACCACAGATGACAGCACCTCGGGCATACAGAAGAGATTCTGAGCTGAGAAGCAATTTTTTTTAATTTTTTTTTCTTTCTTTCCTGGCCACATATGGCAGCAGTGGAGCACTCAATGAATGGCAAAACCCTTTCCTTCTCGACAGTCAGAGGTTAACGTTATGCAGCACGAGTCAATAATCCACGAGCGGCTGCACATGGTGCAACATTTGCATTCCATCTGAAACATACAGACGTTAAAGAAAAATACACTCCATCTACGGAAGGCACGGTTATTTGTGAAAGCAAGCTCGGAACCAGGCGACTTTTCACCGACTGCTGCTAATCTTGCAGACGCCTTCGTTTTCCCCTTATGGTCTGATGCCCGGGGAAAACTTCTTTTAATTGGCACTGAGGAAAATGCATCTTTCAACACACCTTTGCAAGTAAGTTCTTAGCCTGAGCGCCTATAGGTTTGCTGCTGTTATTGTAAAGAAACCACTCTTTGAGAGTGCCAATTCAGCAAGAATAATTTTTGAGTGTACAGCCTCCAAAATCACGCTGTAAGCCTTTTCAAACAGCTTTGAGCAGAAGATTTTTAACCCTGGCACATACAAGTTGGCTCAGCGCTATTTCTCCTCTGCACAGTTGCCTCCAACTCCTTTTTTTCTGAAGAACCACGTCCCTGTGCAGACCAGAAGGAAGCCAAAGTTTTCTCCTCTGTTTCAACAGCTTTCCAAGATACAGCTTAACCCTCCCCCTTTCCTCAGACATGAGAAGGATTAAGTCACTCTTCTGCCTCTATTTACATTCAAGAGGGCTGCCACTACTTGGATAAGCCACAAACACCAATTATTCCGTATTGATTCCGTTGACTTTCTGGGACAAAGTAGGTCTAAAGCTCCAGGACACATCATGAGCATTACAGAACATCACCTTTCTTACACAGGATAAACCAGGTTAAAGAGCACAGTCTAGATATTAAACACCATATCTAGAACAGAAATTCTGGGTTCTCACCAAGACCTCTACTGTTGCATCAGGATCTATAGAAAAGGTGAAGAGATACTGGAAAGCAAAAAAAATAGAGAGTACAACAGGTTCTGCCTATCACTGGAGAAGTGGCGAGCATGTAAGTGGTACCAACGACAGAGACACGTATGTACACGGACAGCAACTGTCCTCATTCTCTCTCTTCATTATCTTCTGAATTCTATCTTGCAGAAAGATAGGAATTTAATCCAGAGTTTGTATGAGATCAAGGCTAAAGAAAAAAAAAAAAGAGTCCAGGACTTGAGATGCAAGTATTTTGTTTTAATGCAAGAATTGCAGTGTTCCGACTTCATAATAATTCCATCATCTCTTTCCTCCAACAAGAGGAATTTAAAAGCCCAGTTGTGTGTGTAATACTTCTGCACACTGAGAGCATGATCCTGCTGGAGGCTAAAAGACTGTTTATCCACAGATCAGTAGTCACTGTGCAAACTTACATGCTCCGTTCTATCCATACTCCTCAATTTTGACTTCGGGAGAGTACTGAAGTATCACCAAATGGAGCTTCATTAGAGGTGACTATATATTTAATCTTACGTAGGCAGAGTGAGTTCAAATATTTTCCTACAAAATGGTAGAATTCAAATGAATTAAGTCACAAAATACAGAATTTTAAAGCAGAACTCATGCATAGCATTATTACAGCTCAACAAAAGTAAGACGCTGCTAAATGCCAACCGCCATATCACAAACAAGTGTGCACACCGTATTATTTCGGGTCTTCCTTCCACCAGTCTTAAATGTTATTTGATCAACATTAGATGAAGGAAGGCCTGGATTTATAATGTAATATTAGAAGATGTGTGATTATTAGGTATGTGTTAACACTGGAGATTAGACATATGTCTAACAAGAAAGGAAAAACACGTTTCACCAACACAAATCTAAAGGGGTGGGGTAGGGAAGGAGGGATCAGGTAGGACGGAAGCCTTCACTACCCCAAGGTGTCCACAGGACTCAATTCTCAAGTTTAGAGATAGCATTAGACCTCAATTCTGCGGCACAGAAGAATGGAGTAAGCATTGCAAGTGAGAGCAGCAGCTTTCCTTCCTTTACATACATTAAGAGTCTACAGCAAAAGTGCTGAACAGCATGGCAAGACTGCAGGGTTGAGCACTGCTCCACGAGACTGTTTAGACTAAGTCCCAGCTACTGCCCAGTCTCTGCGATTTTAAGAGTTGTTACCAGCAATTTGGTGCCAAACAGGCAGCAAAGGCTGAAGGTAGCGGATGGAGAAGAGCGGGGATTGAAGATTTCAACGGATGGCTAAGCTTGTGCTAGGACTAGACTTTGGGTGCGAGCGTTGGGCTTTGTTGGGTTTCGGTAAGCAGGCACTGTGCCAGCTGTGTGCTTTTTAAGAAATGCATTCTTGCTGCCATGGACCTGAAAAAGCGTTTGGGACTCAAAGCTGTGCCACCTGCACAAATGAAGGGGTAGCCTCAGCAGAGGCTGGCTGCACTGACGTCAAACAACTGGAGTCCAGATGTGCTGCCCGCCCTCCCCTCTGAGACTGAGCACCTTCATCGCAGGGGTTGTTTGGGATCTCCAAACCAGCAATTCCACACACCCATCAGGATGGGCTCAGAGTAACTGCTGGCATGACAGGCAGCTCTGAAGAGCTTTGAAACCCAAAGCTCACAAGGTTGATAAAGCTTTGCAGGAGCTGGCTGCTGTTTATTTCCATAGGCCCTTGTATTGCTACCTAAGAAATAAGAGTTCTGAAAACATAGCCCATGCTAAGTCCCAAACCACGATGATGGTGGACAAGCAACCTGGAAGCTTTCTGTGGCTGAAAATTCCCAACTGATGCAGTGTGAAATCCTCATCATCTTCATCAGGCTTCACTCCAAGTATGCCAAACTATTTACTCTATGTCAGCCTGTAAGCATCAAACTTGAAAACTGCGTTACTTCAGAAATGTTTTGGTTTTAAAAGCAGCATCTTTGTCTAACGGATAATGTCTATGGAAATTAGTGCCCAGCGTAACAGCACAGCGCTCTTTACCAAACAGCCAAGTCCATGACAGGAAAATCCATCCAGGCTTTCAAGCCATGTCCATCACGTCAGCACTCAAGCATCTTAAACTGACAGAAACAATATTAACAAAGAAAGTGGAGATTATCTCAAGGCAGAATTTTTATCAGCATCTTTATCATAAATATGGATCAGTCTGCCATTTGAACTCATGTCTATTTCCACAGAAACAGCTGCTTCCATTACACGGGCAATGCGAGGGCCCTTTCAAATATAGGGAGGCTTGCTGGAAAAGGGTTTGAGAGTCAAGTGAAAATTCACACATATTCCTTTCCAAGCTTGGATCCTTGATGGGAATACAAAGCCGTGGATCAACGTTATTAATAGGCAAATTAATAATGAAAACATATCTCCACTCTGTAATCACAAGCGTGTCAGGAGTAGAAATACCCTTCACTAGTAGCTGTGCAGACAAAACCATTTCTCCCAAAAGATACTGACTAGATAAGCTCGGTGCTTTCTTCTGGTGGTGGGTTTGTGTGGCAGGGGCTGCAGGGTGTCTCCTGAGAGAAGCTGCTAGAAGCTTCCCCAGATCCAAGTCGGATCCACCTCTGGCCAAGGCTGAGCCCATCAGCGACAGTGGTAGCTCCTCTGGGATAACACAGTTAAGAAGGGGAGGGAAAAAAAGTCCTGCTGGGGAATCTGCAGTGGAGAGAGCAGAAGGATGAGAGGGAAACAACCCTGCAGACACCAAGGTCGGAGAAGAAGGAGAGGGAGGAAGTGCTCCAGGTACCAGAGCAGGGATTCCCCTGCAGCCCATGGCGAAGCAGGCTGTGCCCTTGCAGCCCATGGAGGTCCACGATGGAGCAGAGACGCAACCGCAGCTCGTGGAGGACCCCATGCCGGATTGGGTGGATGCCCAAAGGAGGCTGTGACCCCGTAGGAAGCCTGGGCTTGAGCAGACTGTTGATGAAGGACTGCGCGCCACAGGATGGACCCATACTGGAGCAGCTCATGAAGAGCTGCAGTCCGTAGGAAGGGCTCACATCAGAGAAGTTCATGAAGAACTGTCTCCTGTGGGAGCGACCCCACCTTGGAGCAGGGGAAGAGTGTGAGGAGTTCTCCCCTGAGGAGGAAGGAGCAGCAGAAACAGTGTGTGATGAACTGACCACAGCCCCCACTCCCCGTCCCCCTGCACCGCTGTGGGAAGGAGGTAGAGCCGGGAAGAAGGGAGGGGTGGGGGGAAGGTGTTTTTAAGATCTGGCTTTGTTTCTCATTATCCTCTCTGATGTGACTGACAACAAAATAAATTGATCCTTTTTCCCCCAAGCTGAGTCTGCTTTGCCCATGACCATAATTGATGGTGATCCCTCTCTGTCCTTGTCTGAACTCTTGAGCCTTTTGTTCTGTTTTCTCCTCCTCATCCCACCGGACGGGGAGGAGCGAACAAGTGGCCACATGGTGCTTAGTTGCTGGCTGGGGCTACACCACAACACTCGCCCATTCATTTTCAAGCATCTCTGATGCTCGAAGCAGCTTAGGGAAGAAAAGCAAAATCGTGCAATTAAGATCAAGGAAACTGTACTTGTTTGGAGCAGTATATTTCTGCAAGCGCACCTAACACAAAAACAGGGTGCAAAACAAGCATTTAGCAAGTTATGAGACCACCAAGTCTAAAACCAGAAGTGTTGAGACCTACTTCAGATATCCTGAGAGCCAAACCACATTGGCCAGCACGCAAGAGCTCCTACTAGGCAGTGTAGTGCAGTGACCTGGGTGGGGTTCCAACACCTCACTTACCTTCAAGTTGTGCCACACGACTGTAAATTAGATTAAAAAATCTAACACCAGAAGAAATACAACCCTCACCCCAAAACACACTCAGTGATGGTACTCAACCAGTTGGGGCCAAACAGAAGATGGAAACTGGGGGGGGAGGGGCAAGAAATCAGCTGAAATACTCTGTGCCTGGAACGCCTGCTCTGAAACCAACTCCCACTGGTTTTTCTCCATTTGCTGCCCAGCACCTCTAATGCAATCCAGACAGTCAAGGACACAGACAGAATGTTAATATGAATGCATTAAAATTCCCATTGAAATAGGACCTGTCAAGCTACTTTATGTAACATGATTTATCGTTTCCAAATGTAGTAACACGGGATTTTATTGTACAGGAGCATGTTGTACACAATGGGGCTCTAGGTCCGCATTCCACGCTGGCCAAATTAGAATTTCTGACAAAGTTTATGCTAGTACATGTCTGAGTTTCCAGTGTGCGTATGAAAGGGTTGCTACACACGTTAGGAATTGATGGGGCACAGAATAGACTTAAAATGAGAGTTCTCTGCACGTTTCTGACCAGAACTGGACACCTCTGATGGCTGCTGCTGAAGGGCTCTAAAACAGAGACGATGAAAAGAAGCGACCTGTCCCCATCCCTCAGGGTACTTGCATCCAGCAATAAAGATGGACTGTCAAAAGCTTAAGGAAGTTTTTATTTCCACTCTTACAAGTCTATCGGATAACTGATGTCCTCTGCAAGTTCAGCGCAGTCAAACCGAGAGGAGACTGGAAACTTCTGGCTGTTTCCAGCGGATGGCCTGCGCTTTCTAACCCGCTGAAGCCCAACTTCAAAACCCCAACCTCAAAACCCACGGCCTCCTATGTCTACCTCATTTAACATAGCAGCTGAAATCAAGGCAAGCTGCCCAAGTTCTGCATTAACACCATCCATAGAGAGTCACAGCACAGAGCACCTACCCTGCCATGACTTAAAGCTTGTGGATTTTTGGTGTCTGCAGACACATTTTCTTACCTCTCCATTCCACATACCAGCTTCTCAGAAACACGGAAATATTTCAGCTCTATCAGCCCACTGTTCTTTTTTTTTATGCATTCACTTTAAGTAGTTTAGATAAGTAACCACAATGAAAACCACACGTATAAGTTTGAGGCAGGGTTGACTAGAACAGTACGGAAAAGCACAGACGTTGATAAGAATTGTACATGCTCTCTACACTGGGAGAGGTCTCCTACCAGCTGCTAGTGCAAAAGCAGTACTGGGATAAATTGGTAGTAGTGTCAAAAAAAACCCAAAACATTGATTCATGTTTTTCATTTGGGCTCCCAGCCAATGTCTACCCACACAACATTATGGAGGTAGACACAAAAGATTGTTTCTGTTGTATTTTGTTACATTGCTGCACTCAAGATCCCAGCTTTCTTGCTAACTTCTTTGTTGGCGTACCATTACTCTCGAGCATCATTCAAGTAGGTGCTTTGCTCCGTCCTCTTCTCCTGCCTAAGTCTGGTATCAATGTCCAACTAAACTCAAATATGGTTTGAAGTGTTTTCATTTAACGAATAAAATACACACCAAGAACGCCCGATTGCAACAGATCACACAAAGATCTGGCTCTTGCCGTCAATTAGTTATATTACAAACTTAGGTACAACCGATGTGGCCAATAAATTGCATTCCAGGCAGTTGATCCCAGATCCAAGATCTTGGACTACTCTGCTTTTGCAACACTAGTCAGAATCAATGATGAATTTTTTAGGCCTTCCCACTCTTGCTCTGCCATTCAGCACAAGCCATAAGAATCACGCTTACTCCAAGTAATAAAACTGAAAGGCATATAGCCATTTGTGTTTGCTATTTCAATCCAGGAGGGATCTGCAATGCAAGTTTAAAAAGCAAAACTATTTTCTGCTGGAATTGTAAGAAGTGAGCAAAAGCCATAATGGAAGCCAGCTCTCCCTAGGCGGCGTAGAAGATGAACGGAAGAAGCTAAAGACACTACAATTAAGGGATGAACAGCTGGCATTTTAAGGAACACGGCTTATAAACCAAGAGCCTGGGGTGATAAAATGGCAGATGAAGGTCAGTGGACATAGGTAATAAGTGATGCACAAGGGAAAAACCATCTAACTTCACATTCACAGACACAGATTCCTACCACTGTGACTCAGGAGCTAAATCTTGATGGTA